CAAAGAGATGCTGACTAGTCCAGAGGACATGACTATATTAGGACCAGTTTCTACTTAGCAGATTATGTATTGCACACACTCTTGCTATCCTTCGCTCTTCAAATGAGAATCAGGGGGTATCTTTCCTAAAGCAATGTTGGTAAAGAATCAGTGACACGCACTGCAATACTGCTGTCTGATACTCTTATGGGGGTATTTAGTAACAGATATTGGGCTGTTTGCCGCTGGCATAACTCCATTGACTTCAGTGGACAGACAATATAGCCCATTGTTTAAAAGGAGACAAGTGACACAATATCTAGTCCATATGTGTGCGCCCAGAATGAAAAAACAAAACAGGTTTCCTATTACAGCGTCTCTGTGTCTTTCTCTCTCTTGAAAAGCCTGTCTTTATTCAGGCTACACATATTGCCATGTTCTGCGTACAAAGTTGTACATTTGCATGGACTCATTTTCCAATCAGTCATATTTTCTTTTCTGGAGCTATCAAGTTTACTTTTGTCTACAAATCAAACTTTTTTGGGGAGCTAATTATATTAGTATTACTGTCCTGGGCATAATTAAATCATTATTGTCTCCTAAGAGCCAGATAAATGGCCCAGTTTTTGCAGGCTCCAGACTACTTATAGAAGCACTCTATTCCCTGAAATTTACTTGTGGTTTTATACATGATGAAATTATCCTATACAATATTTGAGAGATTGGAGAAGACATTAAAATACTGTACTTAGAGCCTAAATACAAGATAACATTTTCCACATGCCTTTCAGGCCTCCTCTTAGCTGATTCAGCAATGAAACCATACTGGTGACTATTCGACAGCCCAAAAAATATTCAAGGCAACAGGTTACCAGAAACAGAGTATATGTCTTTATGACAAAACCAAGCTAGAACACACAAACCAGTATTAGGTTTCAGAGTAGAAGCTGTGTTAGTCTGTATTCGCAAAAAGAAAAGGAGTACTTGTGGCACCTTAGAGACTAACACATTTATTTGAGCATAAGCTTTTGTGAGCTACAGCTCACTTCATCGGTTGCATCGGCAATTTTCTGGATTGCCTAAGAACACTTTTGTGCTCCTTTCTTTTCCTCATGCAGTTTTGTTCCTGTGTGAAAATCCTCCTTTACAAACAAGACGTGTAAAGGAATGCTCATTTTCATATCATTGGAAGACCCAGAGAATATGGCCTGAATGAGGAGGATATTAGTCATGGAAAAACTCACATATCCAATGACAGCAAGAAGGAGGCAGACTTGAAACCTGGCTCCCTTTCTTAGAGTATTTGAATGAGTCAACTCCAATACCTAGAGTTAAAAAGATGGCATAGTGGCTGCTCCTACAAATGGTACACAAGCCATCCAAGAACTGTACTGTTCAAAACGAGAACACAGAGCGCATAATGTCAATTAAAGTGACCAGTCAGTATTTCCCTCCATTGGAAGTATAGCATTTTTTCTCCTTCATGCTGGGAGTTGTGGTTTGGTTGATTTGGTTTGAATACTAAAGGTTCAGTTCATCTGCTGTGTTTAAAAATGTTGGAAGGAAGAAACAAAACACTCATTGATTACAGGAAAAGGGCATTGGAATTGTAATAGGTGCTTATGACCATTAGATGCTTTGTCAGATCAATGAAGCAAATGGCAATAAATACAATAAAAAGGACAGAACAAAAGGTCAAACTCACTTAACTATTTTCAACAGCAGACCCGCAACCCCCCCAAGCAATCAGTTGCATGTAGCGGGAACAGGAATGGGACCACTCATGGACTCAGTTATGCACATGCTTAAATGCTTTGCTGGACCAGGGCCAGACACGGGCAGGTGGAGCTGGACATAGATACCTACTGTACAAAATTGCCTACTAGAAATACTCTATGGTTTCAGTCTTTGCTTTAGGGCTTCAGCTATTTAAGAAATCCAAGGTTTCATCTATTTAAGAATTTCCTGTCACCTCCCATGTGCAGCCTAGGCAGCAGATCCAAATGCAACCCTGGTGTAGGCAGGCACAACAGATTTGCAGTATCAGACACATGCCAGAAAAGCACAGAATGTCTGTATTGAGGTGGCCCATCATGCTAGTTCTGCCATTTCCAAGCGTCTTAAGCTGTGTTGTCAACACAAATTCTTCCTCATGAAACATTCTGTTGAATCTGAGCTCAGAAGATAGTCGTTGGATCAGCCTAGTTGTATCTATCAGGTCCTTTGCTTTCATAATATGTTTTCAGATAAGCTACTAATACAAGATTAAGACCCAGTGCAAGGCTCGTTGTCTCATTACAGCTGCTGGTTTTGGGTGTTCAGAAGGGTGGAAGATGTTAACTAATCTGGACATGAGGTCCCATTGCTTAGAGGTGAAAAAATCTGAGAGTGATATTCAAAGAGCAGTTTTCAGTAGAAACAAGTTAGCTCAGGTCCTGCTGCTCAGGCCAGAGGGAAGTTCCCTGTTGGCTATGTCACAAGAGTTGCTGCCTTCAGACGATAAGGGTCCCTGGTGAAGTCTCAGCTTCAGTGAGATGTGGGACAACCAGTCCTGCAACCAGCTGCAGGATTCTTATTTGTACTGGTTAGCCCTATGCCTGGAAACCAGCTATAACAAACTGCCTGGTCTGATTTTTGCATATGAATCTACAGATATAGTAAGCAGTTTGGGAGAGAAGAGCAGTATAAAGTCCCTAATATTTCCCTCTCCTCACTGAGCTGAAGGTCCCACTTCTGGGGATGAGCAAACAGTTCAATAACACGACCTAGCTGCAGCTATGATAGAGTTCTGTGTTGTGCTGAGCCACCTCAATTCCTGTTGAAGGTCCGTGGGCATTGGTGGCACTCATCATCTCATAGGATCCAGTTATTACACTCACAGCCTGCTTCAATGGGGCCAAGTGTAATCTGAGTGCAGGAACTTCATCATCACCGTGGTTGGATGTAACAAACTTTGAGCACTTGCAGGGAGGACACTTTTCAAACTGGAACTTTAGCTCCTACCACAGGAGAGCCAATGGCTGTAGAAGAGCAGAACTGGGGCAGGATTAGGGCTTGAGTTGTATGAAGTTGCGTAGTCTGTCTTCCCCGAGCAACAAAATAGCTCCATTTTAAAAAGAAACTTTGTTTAGTACCTTCCTTTGATCCAAGATACACATTCCCATCCCAGGTCCTGCCATAAGATCCCAGCACAGCTGGTCTGAGGTATTTGTACAATAACTTATTTGTTGTACAAAAATGTGCTGATCATAACATATGCAGATTTAAGGCTTGTGATTAATACTGAATAAGCTACTACTATGAAGCATGTTTGCCTGTACAAACATATGAGGATTAATTTTCTATTTCACAATGTTTGCTTGGTGCTTTACACCATCATCCCTAACAGAATCCACCATCTAAGGAATCAGTCCTGCAGACTAAATCTCTGTGTCTGCATGGAATCCTGCCTATGCAAAATAGCTTGCAGGACTGGGGCCTAAGATGTGTCTTCAACTTCCTTTGGTGCTCAGTATCTCATGGGCTTAGGTGAACAGACCACCACAGATAAAACTGCCCTTGGTGATCAGGTTAGCAGAGTATTGCAAATTATTTAACAGTGCTTTTCCTTGTATGGAGATGAATACAATGAACTAGCGGTGGAATCCTGGCCTTATTAGGTACGTCTACTCTGCATTTTAAAACCCCACAACAGCTGGTCTCAGAGCCCAAGTCTACAGACTCTGGCTCATGCTACAGCACTTAAAACAGTTGCATCGACATTTGGCTCTTAAGGCAGGGGAGAGAGGTGGGCTTCAGAGCCCAAGCTCCAGCCCGAGGCACAACGTTTACACTGCTATTTTTAGGGCCTTAGTACAAGCCCTGAGAGCTTGAATCTGTATACTCTGGCTCTGAAACTCGCTGTGGTAGGTTTTAAAATGCAGTGTAGACATACCTATCAAAGTCAGTAGCAACACTCCCACTATCAAAAGTATTACTGAATGACACATTATTTAGTGGGCACCAGGTTGATGGATTGTTCTAGAGGTGTGAAACGAAAGACCAAATAACTTGGAAATTGATTTTTTTCACAGTTAGAAAAATGAAAATGGGCCCACTAATGGGCTCCCCCCCGCCTTTCCGCTTGCTCTTACTATTTTTAATTTACCCAAAGCTCCATCACTAGATCAGGAACAAGTTTAATGACCTTCAGTTTCCTCTTACATATTCAAACAGCTCAGTTTTAGATCCTCTCTGATTGCAGGTCCTGTTTGTGATGGGGAAAACACAACGTGCTACCAAGACACAAAGAATTAACAAGCTCAAATTTACAAGGTGGATAAATTTGTTGCTATGCTAGAGATAAGAGACAAATGGAAAAGAATTCTTTAGCTTCATAGAAATCTCCACACCATTCACCTGTGACAAACTGCTTAACTTCACACTCCCATGAATCATGTTCATGTGACGCCTTCTAATATGCAGAGGTACCTTTTAGGTTTCATAACTATGAGAGATGGTCTAGTTGCGTAACTTAGTAAGTCAGTTAAGGCCCTTCTAGTGAAAATAAATTTCAGAAGTCATAGAAGGTCATTTGTTTCTTGAAGTCAATAGAATGAACACAGTCCAGCCCTCTAAAATGCAAACAGTAGCTATTTAAAAGGACATTATGAAGAGGAAAGATCCCTCCATTTAATATTGCCGAAGAAATCAATTCCAATACAAAGTTAGGATTTCATCAGCTGATTAAAAGTGTGCTTGAGACTAGTTTGCTCACTTAAATTACAGTGTGTCCTAGTTTGTAAGGCACAAATATGTCACTCTTTTGCACTCCATTTTAGTAACATTCATGTGGCAGAACAATTTCAGTTGTATAACTTTATATAGGACATGGACAGTTATGAATAAAGTCTATTTGTTTCACTTGTGTCCCGTCCCCTCCACCCCCAAAATAAATTCAAATTTCCTATTTATAAGACAGCACAGCTGTGAATTAGCATTTGAAGTTTGCCATAATAAAGTGAGCACTTACTTCATTAAGATGCGATTTACTGGCATGACAAAAAACAAGTTGCTTTATTAAAACTGTAATTGAAAAAATAGATATTTACAGTAAAGGAAACTTCTTAACAAAATCATACCACTAAAAATGAGAAATTTACACAATACATAAACCCTAAATTATGATGGACTTAAATAAGTTAACAGAATACTCATGATTATAAAACCTACTTTGGCTTGAGGGGAAATTCTGCTTGGCTGATGAACATTTGAAAGGCTGCAAACCTTTCGTAGCTTAATAAAATATTCCTATGGAAAAAGTTTGGTAGTTAAAGACCAACAAAATGCATCTCGTGTGCCCTATCAGTTTTCTATGTATGGTTTTAAAATTCATTTGGCAATTCATTTTAGCTTAAAGACAGCTGGGGCAATCTGGTTTCAATTCTTTTTGAGATACATGGATGCCACATGCCCATTTATTCATTATTTCTCAATGATCTGAAATAAAACAAGACAGGATGACTGAAATTTGCAAGCAAAGAGAATGAAATCCACAAAAATGTAAATAAATGGGATACATAATGCATAGCTGGGTCTGGCTGGTATTTGCCACTGTACTTTCCCTGACTTCAGCAAATCAGTTCTGGGGTTATAAAGAGGAAACATGGTAGAATGTAACCAGATTAAGTTTACAAAGGATGTAGTGCTCTTTCCTTCAAGGTGCAGGTCAGACTAAATGTTCAAAGAATCAATGTTAAGTGTTCAGCCTGGGAACTAACAATTTAAGAGAGCCTGGTGCAACAGACACCAATGTACTTTACATCCCAATTTGGTGCCTATAATACTAGATATTCAAACAGTCCAACGAAAAGTTTGTGTGCTCACAATTGCCCTCTGATCAACAACCCTTTCTTAAACACACCTTTGTACTACTCTGATGCAGCAAAGCACTTAAGCATGTTTTAACTGAGTGAGTGAGTAGTCCCACTGAAGTCACTGACTTCTCACATGCTTAAATCATGCATGACTTACTGCTTTGCTGGACTGAAGCCCAGGTAAGCATCTTCTAATAGCTCCTTTTACTGTCATTGGCTCCAGGTAACTGTCATTCACACTGTAGCTTTTTGTAACAAAAAACAAACAAAAAAGTCAGATTTTACTATTGCTGAAGCCAAACTATTACATTTTAATTTCTCTCTCAAAATCCACAGGTATTAGTTTGTAGAACATGAGCTAAAAAGTTAAACCTATAACATTTTACTTATTTCTAATAAAATACATAAAAGGGTGCTACCTTTTAAAATATCTTTCCTCTTTTTCCTAGGGCAGTTGATGAGACCCATTTAGCGGTACCAGCCTAATTAAAATTTAAATATGAATTCCCATCTAAAGATATCATTTAGCTAAATAAAAACTTGCTACCAGATCAGCCATGGATAAGGTATATTTATAATTTGAGTACTGGTATATTGTTTTCCAAGTTCTTGCTCATTTCTGAGCTTTATTTTTGCTATATATTCTCTCAGTTACTATTTTTACATGGTTATCTACTTCTTGGTTCATTTCCCTTTGTAATAAAGCTTCACAGGAACTAAGGAGTGCTTTTTAATACATCAGTTTTGCACATACTGACAGATTATGTTAAGTATCTGACAAACGTGCTCCTGCATGAATAAAGAAATGGCCATAACATGACATCCATTTTTGGTAGTCACATTTAGGCACTTAAGTTTTATACATCTGCTGAAACTGTTGAACTGTACACAAGTTAGAAAGGAGATACAGGAGTCTCATTTCATAAACTTACCCTTGGCTCTACAGAGTTTCCTGCCCATCACTTGAGTTATTATATGAAGTTCTATGAGTGGCAAGTGAGTACATCTTAGAAATGCACAAACAGCACTTTGACCTCCACCCGCACAAATCTAGGTAGGGGAGATATTTAAATATATTATAAGGCACTTGTGAGTGCTTTGTAATAATTTTGTAAATATTTTATAAATATTATTCTATTTAAATAATGTCTCATTTATTCCTTCTCACAAGTCATACAATGGCAGATGCTGCACTGCGCCAGGTAAGAAGTCTACCTCCAGTAGACTGCTTGGTACAGTACAAATTACAAGAACACAACTTCTGGCAAAATGGAGCAGTCAGTGGTGTCCATTTAAACACCTGATTGGCTGATCATTCAGTAGTAACATAAGCCCATACTGTACTGTGATTCAGCACTCTATTAAAGACCACCCAGGGAAAATATTTGCTAGTTAGCTATAAGTTAGTTATAAAAACTCTTAACTTCTCCCTCCCCAACTGCATATCTACCCTGTAAAACAGGTTGCCAAACTACAACTGATCGTATATTTGACTTTCCCCTGCTTGTCTCAGTCCATCCATCAGAAACATGCTCCTCCTCACCAAGTCTAGGAAAATCACCAGGAGCAGACACACTAGGAAGAGAAAGGATGAAGAGGGTACAATGCAGAGGGGAAAAACAGAGAACAAGAAACTGTAGGAGGAGCCTACAGTGTCAGGTGGTCTTGCAGAGCCCGAGCTACACATCCACACTGCTATTTTTAGCATGCAACTCGAGCCCCACTAGTGGGGGTTTGTCTACCCAGGCTGGGAGGCCTGCTCCATCTGCAAAGCAGACAAGCTTATATAACTGGAGACACTCAGGAAAATTAACGTGAATGAACGAAAACTGTGAATTTCAATCAAGTTAGTTAAACTGCATTAAACCCCAGTGTGGACACATACATTCAAAATGAAAGTGACCTTAAAACCAAGTGAGGGCCACAGACCACATATTGCAAATTTAACTGCCCCCTTTTCATCCTTCTGTACATGCTACTTTACCAGATTATATACTGCACCAAACTTTATTAGTGTTGGGGAATAGTCTATCATGTTTGGAGAGGGTAATCTAATAAAGGATTGTGAGTAGAAGGGCAGTTAGAGGGGTGATGGAAGGCTGGCAGTTCTAGGGGGCTGTGAAATTTGCAGGACATGGTCTGTAGTGTACAGTAGTAGTGATATGTGCCTGCAGGTGGAGGAATAGAGGGTCTCTACAGATAGGCATTAATATTTACTTCTAATTTCTTTGCTTTTGTGGAGAGATTTGTCAAGTATATTATGTGTAGCAACCTTAAGTGCTTTGCAATGAAATCTTCTGTTTATTAGTTCCCTAGGTTTTTTTAATGGTTGAAAGGGAGTGGGAAAGACAAACCTGTGGGGGAGTAGAAATGCAGCAACCCTGTTGTAAGATAAAAACTGACATAAATGGGTAGTTACTGAGAGCGAGTTGGCGACCTACCCCAGTCAGTCAGGTTTGGATTGTCTAGTTCCCATCAATCAGATTTGCATTTGCACCAGTTCTAGTTAGCACACCTCTCTAAAAAGTTTTAAGTGGATAGACAGTGTTCAGTACAAACTAGGATGACAAGGAAAAATTTCAGCTAGAGCCCTATTTTGAAGACTTCTATTAAAACATTCTGAAAAGAAAGCAAGTATGTATGATTTGTATGAAGTACATAAATAATCCAGACATCATAAAAACTAACCCTGCATGATATTTTAGAGGAAAAAAAAGATGTATATCCCATTTTAAGCCCCTGTTAGAACACAACCCTAACTATGGAGTTGCTACCAGTCAGCTGCAAAGTGTGTGCACAGAATAAATGGAAATACAATATATTTAATAAGCTACATTTTAAATGGTCACATATTTACAAATCACATTTCTATAGGAAGGTTTTTTTTTAAAATCTGCTATTACTGCAACTAACTTTTCTATCACTAAGAGTTGGGATTTTTTTTTCTTTTTTAACTTTTGCGTTTGACAACACTTTGTATAGTCAGTTCTGTCTGTCTGTGCAGGTCTTTCTTACAGTAAGGGAGGAAAGACACTAGGAACAGAAACATGGAATGTAAAACCACAAAAATTAACAGGATGATATAAGGGCAATTGAAACAAAAAACCCTACTTTTAAAAAAAATGGACTGGATTTCAATTTGATTCTGTCTCTAAACAATTAGCATTCAGATTAACAGTAGGCTGAAATTAGTACATCCTGTGGGTTTGACATAGTGATGAATATAGAAGAACAAAACCAGTATTAAAACCAGGTCTAAAGTAGGCCGCTTGTCCTGTGCTTGCAAAAAATAAGTTCTTCATAGTGAAACCAGAATATGCAGAAGTTACATTGCAGTATTCAAAATTGACAACTGTTGCAAAGAAATCCAGTCTATTCTTCTCCTTTTTTTTAAACAAAGATTACGAAATTGAATTTTATTGAGTTTCACACAAGAAGCACTTATAAAATTGGTACAGAATGTCATTTAACAGATGAAAATCATTCCAAGCTTCCTTTAGCAACTGCTAAATAACTGAAAAATTCACAGATCTGAATTTTAATGTGTAAATTTCTCAATGAGCATAAAATACACCCAAAATAAAAGCATTTTAGACTCTCCTCTTCCCCTCGCCCCCAACCATTTCAATTGATTCTGGACACTACTGCAGCTGCTGTTGGTGGGAGAGGAGAAGGGGCAACAAGAGGCTCCCTTTAGAGCAGATGATGTTGACTTGTATGGTAAAGCCATTTTTCATGACAACTTCACATTCTGATCAGTTTCATAACATTATTTGTGTACATTTCTCTGTTCTGTCATATTAATACAACTCTGCAGATTTTAGGAATTCGCATGTATTCTTCCACATTTTGTACTCATAAATCAAATATTAAACTTTGGCTTTTCCACTCTAATAGATTACAAATTAGTTAATAAAAAAATCCTGTGGTCTGTTCATCACTGAAATATCTGTATCACATCAAAAATCCAAAATAAAATTCGAAGGGAAATAATTTAGCAGACATCAACTTAAATCTTTTGAAAGGTTTTTGAAAATAGAGGTTAATGTTATATTTTAACAGCAAATGTAGGATTCATCACTGGATGAAAGATTGTCTTTTGATTCAGTTCTCTAGCCTAGTTATTGAGCTGAAATGCAATTCATTCTTGAGGGATTCAAAGTGCCTTTCATCAATTCCCCCAACCTTGCCACACACACCAGAAATTAAGATGCATTATACTTCATAAAACCAAGCGTTTCATAACAAAGCTATTCACATCTACTTAAGTTTGCTTAAAATCCACCAATTAAAATGGACACTTTTGATTTTCTGTTTAAATTTCTATGGGCAATTTTTCCAGCTAAGTTAATATATAGATGCCATTTTTATCAACTTGTTTAAACCAAAATGTAGTGAGTAATTATTTCTTCCATTGCATTGGAATTATCTGGAATTAATGCAACACTGGTGTTGCTGGCTGCAGTTCACACTACCTTTTCTCAATATAAAGAAGAGTCACTTTGTAACAAAACGTTTCCCATTGCAAAAAACAAGCCTCAGCTTTTTTTTAAAAAAGCCTTTCATATAGCATTTATAAATGTATATAGTTTGCCTTGCAGAACACATTGTTATTGAACAGAAAAATGATGAAGCTGTGTTTGCCCAGTTATGTGGAACCTTTACTGTATTTCTCTGTATTTGTGATCCATTTCCCTTGCTGGTTTAGATTTTAGATAAAATACTATGCAGTAGGTCTTTCATTTAAGATACTGTAGTATTTTATTCTAATTCTGATACATCTTCAAAGATTTTTCTGGTGACAAGAATAATTATCTTGACTTACTGTTTAATCTACCAGTGCTTTTTTATGTACTCGTTGATAAGTACAAGTTTTGAAATCTGCAGCTGTTTATGAAAACAACATGAGACTGGAAAGATGAGCTTCCTATTAAAGTTGTCACATATTCCCAGGTATATCCTTATATTGGAGAGACCTTGATGAAAAATGATATATTCTGGAAGCATGGTTTCAAAAAAATCAAAACAGGAGTTTGATTTTTTCAGTCTATTTCCACAACAGCGATACTGTAGCTCTGCCAAATAGACAAGAGGCTCACAATCCATTATATTTTCCAAAGAGCCAAGTTAAAGATTTCTGTTACTTGATCTGACCAGCTACCAAGCCTACTTACTTGTAAAAATTAATATTCATTTGCCATTAATAATTTAAGTTTTTAAATAAATATTTAAGTGCCTTTTTTGGCAACTGTCCATTCTGGTAGCATTTGCTGTCCCAAAAGCTCAGTATCCTAAGCACATCTATTCAGAAAACTTAGTCAATTCTATTTCCACAAATAGTAAACCTGTCTATCTCCAACAAATCTTTCTTTGAAGATCTGTGTTTTAATTCTGAATTGTCTTGGCTTATATCTTTATCTTCTCCATCAGGAGTCGTCAGGAATTGATCAGAGTTGCTTGTCACAAGTAAAGATGTATTATTTTCCTTCTGATGTGCGGGCTGATTGGTAACTGATGCAGAGAAACTTTCGTCTGTGGAAATACCTGTTGGAAGAGCAGAAAATCAGAATTAAAAAAAGTGTGTTAATTGTATAAGCACATCAATGAATTTGAAATTGACAGATCTGTCCATCATCAAAGCTGCACTGAGGGCTGAGAAAGTTAGCCATGAGAACAATAAAAGTAGTACAAAACAATATGAACCAGTTTTGGAAACCAGATCATAGAATCATAGAATATCAGGGTTGGAAGGGACCTCAGGAGGTCATCTAGTCCAACCCCCTGCTCAAAGCAGGACCAATCCCCAACTAAATCATCCCAGCCAGGGCTTTGTCAAGCCTGACCTTAAAAACGTTCAAGGAAGGAGATTCCACCACCTCCCTAGGCAACGCATTCCACTGTTTCACCACCCTCCTAGTGAAAAAGTTTTTCCCAACATCCAACCTAAACCTCCCCCACTGCAACTTGAATCCATTACTCCTTGTTCTGTCATGTGGTACCACTGAGAACAGTCTAGATCCATCCTCTTTGGAACCCCCCTTCAGGTAGTTGAAAGCAGCTATCAAAACCCCTCTCATTCTTCTCTTCTGCAGACTAAACAATCCCAGTTCACTCAAAGAAAAGGAGTACTTGTGGCACCTTAGAGACTAACCAATTTATTTGAGCATGAGCTTTCATGAGCTACAGCTCACTTCATCGGATGCATACCGTGGAAACTGCCACTTCAGTTCACTCAGCCTCTCCTCATAAGTCATGTGTTCCAGCCCCCTAATTATTTTTGTTGCCCTCTGCTGGACTCTTTCCAATTTTTTCACATCCTTCTTGTAGTGTGGGGCCCAAAACTGGACACAATACTCCAGATGAGGCCTCACCAATGTAGAACAGAGGGGAATGATCACGTCCCTCCATCTGCTGGCAATGCCCCTACTTATACAGCCCAAAATGCCTTTAGCCTTCTTGGCAACAAGGGCACACTGTTGACTCATATTCAGCTTCTCGTCCACTGTAACCCCTAGGTCCTTTTCTGCAGAACTGCTGCCTAGCCATTCAGTCCCTAGTTTGTAGCAGTGTATGTGATTCTTCCATCCTAAGTGCAGGACTCTGCCCTTGTCCTTGTTGAACCTCATCAGATTTCTTTTGGCCCAATCCTCCAATTTGTCTACTTCAGTGGTTCCCAAACTTGTTCCGCCGCTTGTGCAGGGAAAGCCCCTGCCGGGCTGGGCCAGTTTGTTTACCTGCCGCGTCTGCAGGTTCGGCTGATCGCAGCTCCCACTGGCCGCGGTTCGCTGCTCCAGGCCACTGGGGGCTGCTGGAAGCGGCGGCCAGTATGTCCCTCAGCCCGCGCCGCTTCCAGCCACCCCCAGTGGCCTGGAGCAGCGAACCACATAGATCCCTCTATATCCACCATATAGGTCCCTCTATATTCTATCCCTACCCTCCAGTGCATCTACCTCTCCTCCCAGTTTAGTGTCATCTGAAAACTTGCTGAGGGTGCAGTCCACACCTTCCTCCAGATCATTAATGAAGATATTGAACAAAACCGGCCCCAGGACCGACCCTTGGGGCACTCCGCTAGACACCGGCTGCCAACTAGACATGGAGCCATTGATCACTACCCGTTGAGCCCGACGATCTAGCCAGCTTTCTATTCACCTTACAGTCCATTCATACAGCCCATACTTCTTTAACTTGCTGGCAAGAATACTGTGGGAGACCGTATCAAAAGCTTTGCTAAAGTCAAGGAATAACACGTCCACTGCTTTCCCCTCATCCACAGGGCCAGTTATCTCATCATAGAAGGCAATTAGATTAGTCAGGCATGATTTGCCCTTGGTGAATCCATGCTGACTGTTCCTGATCACTTTCCTCTCCTCTAAGTGCTTCACAATTGATTCCTTGAGGACCTGCTCCATGATTTTTCCAGGGACTGAGGTGAGGCTGACTGGCCTGTAGTTCCCCGGATCCTCCTCCTTCCCTTTTGATACTTCTGAATATCCTGTCCAAACCACTTCACGTTTTGTTACCACTGCCATTAGGATCCTAGAATGCTTATTAATGCAATAAAATATTGTGTATGAATTTCCATTAACGTTGTGATACAAATTCAGCAAAATGAAGTCCAGGAAAGCCAGGAGTATACCACATGTCATCCAATATTGAGGAACAATAGGATGCAATAAAACAAGATGATAAAAGGTCATGATCATTGTGGCATGTTACTGAAAGCCATATGGTAGGTTTCTGGTTTACTTTCCTGTTTTTGATGGTTTGTGTAATAAGATTGTTTACTCCACCCATCCCATCTGAAGCCAGTTGAAATGATCCCAATCAACAGTAGTAACAGATCTGATTTCTGTGAAAGAATCTACTTATGTTACCAGTGACAGGATTGTATCCCAAAGTATCTGCACAGGAAAGCTGGATGCCCTAAGTTTTATCCCACAGAGAAAGCTCAGATATGGTAAAATAATTAATGTATGTATTTGTATGGCATCTAATCCCAAAATATCTTCATGAACCCCCTGATTTGTTAGGATTCCTTCTTTTTGTTTCCATAGAACTGAACACTGGGTTTATTAATACAATTTTTAAAAAGTGTATGAACACTTAATACATTTCTGTGCTGCATTAAAATATAATGTTTGAAACAGCTGAAACTGCATGATTTGCCCCACCCCAAAGGGAACTTGGCAGGAAGAGCAACAAAGGTATTTTTTGCTCCTCTTAGAAACAAGGTAACTGATAACTGACATATTTTAAGGGAGTTTTTGAAAAACATCTGCCTTGGTTTGAGAAGCTGTTTTAAGACCCAGCCAAGAGAACATTATCTGACAAAAGTAATAAACATCAAAATAGGGGTTTGCAACAGAAATATTGCAGCAATGTGTAAAACAATATCATTACTTGTTCCAGACAACTACTTTATAAAGCAGCTTCTTTATCATATCACCTCTTCCAGTAATTTGTATATTTTTTAGGAAAATAACCAATCTTTGGAGTAATTTAATAAAGTCCTGTATAAGTAAAACATAATGCACACACCAGGGAAAAACAGTCATAAAAGGTTCACTGCCGAGCTTCAATATGTAGGTAGGTATCTTCCCATTGAACAGTTTCCAGAGGAAGCCACTGTTCAATTTAAAAAATGATTACCAGTCTAATTAGTGAGCTCATTCTTCAAGAGTAGTTTCAAACTTTACCAATGATAATTGCAACTGTGTACATTCCTATGAGAAAGGTGCAAACTCTCAGGAAAATAAACTATCCTTATACTGTAGGCTGAAGGAAAGTAGGTTAGATAAATTCCTTGAAACCGGTGATTATATTGCTAGCAATATAGGCTGTACTGTTCAAGCCTATAATTGGGGCACAGGGATTAATCAATAATGCAGAATTCTGCAATAATAATGAATAGACAGGAGAGAAGGCAAGCTAGAAAAATTCTTACATATGATCTGGCTTTATAGGGAAACAATTGTTGTTAAGAGTCACTGTATTTATAAAATGAAGTAATGGCACTGAAGAATTAAGCTTCTTCCACCTTTGAGGATTTTATAGAAGCTGAGAATATTTTTTTAAATGACATTCACAGAAATATATAGGTCTCTGCTTCTTATAAAATTGTGTCATTTGAGGCATAAGCTCTCTGGACTGACCTGGTAAGCTTACTGCTGCTTCAGCTAAAAATAGTCTTCAGAATGTATTTACTGGGAACTGTTGGTAAGTTTTAATGGTCAACCCTTAAAACATGAATTATTAAGTCCCACATCCAAATAAATTATAAAATATTTTATAATTTAAGAAAAAAATAGCACTGTAATACTGTAACATTTTCTAGTGAAAGCTTGGAAAAAGCATCCAGATCTACTGTACATAAGTTTTTTCACCATATAACCAAAAAGCCCAATATTATGGATGTAAGCCATTTTAAAATAAATATATGCACTAAATTTAGTCCAATGTGATTTGACACAGTTGAGATATAGGGTTTTATAACTGAAATGCTGATTCTTAACTCTAGTATTGCTGGCAAGACACTATGATGTCTAACAAACACCTTAAATTTCATGCTGTTCAAGTCTTTGGCAAACCTTAGAGCAGAACACAATAAAGCCTCACTGTTAAATTCTCAGGGGCTCCCACTGGATTCTTCCCAGAGACAATATACAATCCAACTTTGTTGATCAGAACAGTGAAAGTTTCTGTTTCCCCCCCATATTATGTCAAAGAGGGATATTAAAAAAACCCAACTAATACACCATTACAATTATTTATTAATAACAGAGGTTTTTTTTTAACACCCGATGTTAAAGGTGCTATATATAAACTGCAGAAGACTAAGAAAACCACCTTATATACTACAAAACAAAAAACAAGGAGGCAAATCTCAGATCAGGAGAATTAACATTAATCCCACTTAGAGAATGAAAAGCTGCCTGAAATCTTCCTATCTTCATTACAATTTTAAGTAATTGTACCTGCTGCATATCATATTTTGCCCACTTTTCTATAAGAATTCAATGGAATATTCCGTATGAAACGTCAGTATTGTCAGAGCTCAAGCCAAATGTGAAATATCAGCATTTACAAGAAGGTGTTCCTCTAAATGCGCACGTTCATGCATACAAAGTCAGTACTAGTTCTCATTTTTGCTTCCCTACCTCCTTTCTCATACCCTGGTGGAATTTTATTGTAGTGGAGAATATTTAGGTCTGTGAAGGATGAAGCACTGAATAATGGAAAATGAATTCTTCTGTTTACAGAATTGTGCTCCAGCTGCTAGGTGTATGCTCACAGTCCTAACATGTGAACCAAAGCATAGTTATTATGTGGTACAGTTTGTGGTAAAGGTACTGTTGAACAGCAGAGAGGGGAACAGCAGACTGAATATTAAGTTTAATCTGGAAACAGTTTCCTTTTCACTGATCATCTGAACAAGCACTTAAACTTACCTTGAGTAGATTTAAATTTGCTTTGGGGTTTGCTAGGTGGCTTGCCTGGGGTGCTAGTAGGGGGAGGACTGAACAACTTCTCTTCCATTTTTGCCTCCTTTACATATTGGCATGACTTGCCCAATAACACAATGCTGTTAAGGACTTTTAGTGAAATTAACCTGAAAGATAAAAGGGTATATTTACGTATTTGCATTAGTGGATGTTCATATAAAAACAGTTTCATGTATGGTTTCTGCTATTTGGAAGGTATTTAATTTGTTAGCTAATCCTTCCAACTGTAAGGCTTTTTCTTATGTCTTATAAACCCCCCCCCCCCCCCCCCCCCCCAAAAAAAAAAAAAAAAGGCAGCACAATCATTTGGTTTTAGGCTCGATGTTTTAATGTAAAGGGTTTCATAGGGTAGAAATTTCAAATGTTTCTAGAAGTCATTTGGATCCTAATATCAGTATTTTAGTTACTTAATATCAGTGTTTACTTCATGGAGCAGCTATGGGAATTTCAGTAAATTTTCAATACACTCAGTATCTAAACATCTACTTTGAAGAGCGTATCAAAAATAATAGCAAGTCTGTGATGGCTTTGAAGCATCTCTAACAACAACAACTACTATGTGGAGCTCTCAAATTTTGAAACACCATGGGCCACATAAGGAGTTAAAAGACTACACCTAATTTCCATAAAATGTCCAAATTGCAGTAGCCCTCAGCTGTGTGGTCCACAGAGTCTACAAGTCCCATCATGCAATATTCCATTTCTATCTGAGTAGCGAGGCTGGGAGTAACATGACCCAGTAGACAGTGGAGACCTAGATTCTTTCCTGCCTCTGCCACAGATCTGCTGTGTGAACTTTGGCACATCATTTAGTTCTCTCTACCTCAGTTTTCCCATCTGTAAAACGGGAAAGAGGCTTTTCTACCATTGTAGAGTGCTTTGAGATTTACAGATGAAAAGCACTTTATGAAAGCTAATTACTACTACTATTGACAGAACATCACATGCTAGGACCTTTAATATTTTTAGACTACGCCTCCATATTGAAGATGAAGGCAGCTGTGATTTAGAGATTTGATTTACAGGCTAGTTTGATGGTTCCATGCTATTCTGGGCTCAGAATTTGAGTCTCCGGAACTTGTTTCTCACTCAAGGAGCTGCAAGAGTACCTTTTATTTCTCTCATTAGACAGCTCTACAGCAGTTGTGATAGGGTTTGGATGGAGCCCTATATCCCTACTCAACATTAGGATAGTAAATAGGTAGAGAAGAATGTGGGAACCCACTGATTATGGAAATCTTAATAGACATTGTGATAATCTAAGTTCAGAAAATTTGCTGGAAAAAGTGAACGTTTTCAAATTAAAAGCCTTAGAGCAGGTCTAACTTGTGCATTATAAAGAGACCAAAATATACTTCAGTAGCAATGCAACTATCACACAATGCATTAACACAAATCATGTCAAAAAGAGAAAAATGTAGCATACAACCTCTCTCTCTCAAAGGTATTTTTATGTAATACATTTTCCTGTAAAAGTAAGTCTGTTTGAGGGATAGGAGGATATGCAGAGCAGACAATCTTCAGTATTTAAAAAGGAACCTCTCACTTTGGTACCCAAGCAACCACAAACTAGACAAAATTTGATTCCCCCAGGTCTGTTACTGTGGTTCTATAAGGTCCCTTCTATTAGGGTAAGAGAATAGGGTGATGTCGTGGTGGGCATCTGCTAGAAACCACCAGACCAGGAGGATGAGGTAGACAAGGCTTTTTTTGGACAACTAATAGAAGTTTGCAGATCAAAGGCCCTGGTTCTCAAGGGGAACTTCAATCACCCTGACATCTGCAGGGAGAGCAATACAGCAGTGCACAGACAATCCAGGAAGTTTTTGGAGAGTATTGGGGACAACTTCCTGGTGCAAGTGTTGGAGGAACCAACTAGAGGCCGTGCTCCTCTCGACCTACTGCTCACAAACAGGGAAGAATTGGTAGGGGAAGTAGAAGTGGGTGGCAACCTGGGAAGCAGTGACCATGAGATGGTCGAGTTCAGGATCCTGCCAAAAGAAAGGAAGGAGAGCAGCAGAATATGGACCCTGGACTTCAGAAAAGCAGACTGATGCCCTCAAGGCACTGATAGGCATGGATCCCCTAGGAGGCTAATATGAGAGGGAAAGGAGTCCAGGAGAGCTGGCTGTATTTTAAAGAAGCCTTATTGAGGGCACAGGAACAAACCATCTCTAAGTGCAGAAAGAATAGCAAATATGATTTAGTTGGGGTCGGCCTGCTTTGAGCAGGGGGTTGGACTAGAAGACCTCCTGAGGTCTCTTCCAACCCTAATCTTCTATGATAGTTTTTCTTTCTACAAAAACATGTCCCTTGCTTTTGCTCCCCATACCGCCTTTCCAAAAACAAGATACTTTCACAGATATGTACTATTATTTTGAAAAATGAAGGGTTCAGGGCCTAATCCAATTCAATGAGAGTTGGATCAGGATGTTGGTGGGTTACAACCCACCCAACTGATGTATTAATACCAGATTTTCATCATGAAAATCATAGCAGCTTCCAAGTTTTCTTCTGTCACAGGGCTTTGGGTTTTTAACTACTGGGAGGGCAGAAGTGGGTCAGATTAGTTTACTGTGAATAGCTGAAAAATCATATAAAATTAAATCAAAACGCAAATTTCAAATATTGGGTAAAACTTAATATTTTTTATTACATTTAACTATGTAACTAAATAAAGAATTATTGTTTCACCCCATCAGAACAATTTCCTCCTTATTTTAGTCTAAATCCTTTGTGATAAAATCTTAAAGCATTATCTAGGCAGTGTTTCTCACATGTCTGTATTATACCTAAATTCTGTCTCTCATATTGCAAATAATTCCACTTATGTAGATTATAATTACAGACACTGAAAGCAGTGTGCAGAACTTGGAATTACTCAGAGGATTTAGGAGATGTACTAATTCTAAACCTGAGATCACAGCAAAAGAATAAAGTCCATTCTCACTTTGAAATTCATATCGTATGACAAAATCTAATCTAATAAACTAAATCCAAAAAAGAAACAGGTCACAGCTGTCTTTATTCATGTTTACTTAACACATCACTATAGACTCTGTCTCATGCCATTTTGAAGGTCAGTGTCCCATTTGGAGCAGAATTGGCAAGTTGAAGTCAGGTGTTTTATTGGTGCAATTTGTTTATTTACAAAGTGTGCACAGGTCCTGTTTCCTTGAATTGGGGTGGTAACAAAACACAGACATAACTTCCTTCCTGCAGAAACCACAGACCAGGCACTTCTGCCCTGTACCCAGGATTCCTGCACTTTGTCTCTCTCTAAGGCCGTACCCAAGTTTTACTGCTGAACACAGAGGGTATGTCTTTTGAGTATGTCTACGCAGCAAAGAATCATAGAATATCGGGGTTGGAAGGGACCTCAGGAGGTCATCTAGTCCAACCCCTTGCTCAAAGCAGGACCAATCCCCAATTTTTGCCCCAGATCCCTAAATGGCCCCACTCACAACCCTGGGTTTAGCAGGCCAATGCTCAAACCACTGAGCTATCCCGCATCTGGCCTGTGCCAGCTGACTTGGGCTCTCGGGCTGTGGGGCTGTTTCATTGCTGTGTAGACTTCCGGACTTGGGCTGAAGCCTGAGCTCTGGGACCCTCCCACCTCTCAGGCTCCAGCCCGAGCCTAGATGTCTACACAGCAGTGAAACAGCTCCACAGCCTGAGCCCTGATTGGCTGGTACAGGCCAGCTACGGGTTTCTCTTTGCTGTGTAGAAATACCCTTTGTGACCCTGGGAGCCCTTCAAAGCCAGCTGGCTGAGGGGTTTCACCCCAAACTGTAACTCACATCAGGCCTGACACACACTGCCTCAACAAACTGGTGTCATAATATATATATATCTAAAAAGTGTCACAAATTATATATGAACTGGTGACATGCAGGTCCTGGAAATCATTGTATGATGTACGTATGGGTTGGGTACAAAGTTATAGATGTGTGTTGGAAATGTGTTCTTAAAATATGTGTTGGAAGACAGAGCATAAAACTCAATCTGCCCTAGACAAAGGAATGTGTATTCACCAGTCTGACTGGCTTGGTTATCAGCAGAAGACAATGGAAGTACATTTACATATAAGGTAAACAAAGCCATCAAGCTAAATGAGCAGGAGAAAAGAGCGTTTAACAATCATGCTGAGGGACAGAATCTGCACCCCAAGAAGCCTTCCTGTCTCTTGAGGTAGAGACAATGGAGTGTGAGTAATATAAGGGGACAAAAAAGATATTTTAGTTATCCATCACTGAGGGGACAACAGGGTACAGCACCTGGGAAAGCTGGATCCTCTTGGCCTGAAAGGCAAGAGCTGCTGGAAACTTTACATAGTGAGAAACTGCTTAGTCAAAATTGTAACTTGCTAAAATTAAGTTTTACTCACTAGAAAGCGCATTTTGTTTTGTTTGTAACCAGTCCAATCTCTCTTATTCTTGCCTAGTATCACTTAAATCTCTGTATTCGAACTTTTTCTTGTTTTGTTACAAAACTATCACAGTGCTGGTATATTAAATTGGGAGTCTTCAGCTAAACCAACTGGCAGAATCCTGAAGAGTTTGCTGACCTGATACACAGTTGAGCAACAGCAAAACTCTCATTTGCTGAGGCAGAAGGATAACACAGTGGCTCACAATTCTGGGTGTCCTGAGCAGGATGTCAGTCTTCTCTGCAGTATTAACTTGGCTTTGCCTAGCCTGGGTGTGAACAGACACACTGCAAAGACACACTCAAGTTACAATGTCCTCATGGTGCTGCGCTTACCAGTGAGAGTTGCTAGGACTTCTGTGGGCATATCTCAGTTTTATGCTGCAGTAAGCTGAGATGCTAACTGTTGGAGAATTTTTAGAAGGCACTGAAGGACTATCAGCATTCAAAGGGTTTATCTTGCATCCTCACTGCAAAGTGGGCTGGTAACCAGCCCATATGAAAGCAGCGCCCAGGCTTTAGTCTATACCACCAGACAGGCCAACTAGCTGGGCCTGAAAGCACCACTCAGCTTGGGTCAGAGGATTTTATATGTGGATGTAAGAATCTTAGTAAGAATCTGGGTTAATGTTACAGTGAAAACATGCCCAGATATTCTTCTAAACTTGCCCCAGCCCCT